AGACTACCTGGGCTAGGGGCTGGGGATTTAGCTCAGCGGCATAAGCGCCTGCCTTGCAAGCAGGCAGTCTTGAGTTCTGTCCCTGGTAACGATAAAAATGAAAAAGACAAAAAAAAATGAAAAAAAAAAAAAGACTACCTAGGCTGCAAAGGGAGCTCAAGGCCAGCCTGAACTGCATAGCAAGACTCTGTCTCAAAAAGACAAAAATGGCTTGGCTGTAGCTCACTGTGAAGCTCCTGGTACAACTGTCAGAAACCTCCTCCCCAAAAAAACAAGAGAAACATTAAAACACATAAAGAACAAAATAAGAATTCTAAGTAACAATTCTAGGAGAAGAAAACAAAGAGAGGGTGACATTTAAAGACACACAGAAGAAAATATTTTAAGTAGAAGGACATTTGAATCCTCAAATAGAGGTTGAGTCTCAAATACGATATAAACTGCCACAGACTAACTGTTAGCACAAAGATACCAAAGGAAAAGTACAATAAAATCTTACAAGGAAAGGGCTGGGGATTTAGCTCAGCAGTATAAGCACCTGCCGAGCGAGTGTGAGATTGTGAGTTCAATCCCTAATACCAAAAAAAAAAAAAAAAAAAAAATCTTACAGGAAAAGAGTTACTCTGCCAGAATTTAAATGGGCTGGGCGCTGGGGATTTAGCTCAGCGGCATAAGCACCTGCCTTGCAAGCAGGTGGTCGTGAGTTCGATCCCTGATACCGATAAAAAAAAAGGGGGGGGGGACAGAACAGAATTTAAATGGGCTAGACCAGAGGAAAATAAGAAAATACTTAGACATTAAAAAAAAAAACAGCCAAGGTGCTGGGGATATAACACAGCAACAACTTGGCAAGTGCAAGGTCCTGAGTTCAACTCAATACCAAAAAATATATATATACATTGAAAGGCCAACATGGTAGTACGTGCCTGTAATCCCAACACTTGGGAGGCTGAGGCAAAAGCTCTGAGTTCAAGGTCAGTTTGAATTGCATAGCTATACCCTGTCTCAAAAAACATAAAAAGCTGGGTATGGTGACTCATGCCTGTAAATCCCAGCACTTGGGAGGCTGAGACTGGAAGACTGCTGTGAGTTAGGCCAGCCTGGGCTATACAGTGAGTTCAAAGCCAAACTGAATTACATAGTGGGACCCTGTCTCAAAAAAAAAAAGACCTATATAACTTTCTTATTACACAAAAATACACACCCTAAAAAAAAGAAAACTAAGAAAAATGGGGGGTGGGAGTGTAATTCAATGGACAAGCAAGCACTCAGCCCCCAGACATACACTGCGAAAAATAAAAATGCCAGGCTGAGGATTTAGCTCAGCAGCGTAAGTGCCTGCCTTGCAAGCAGGCAGTCATGAGTTCGATCTCTGGTACCAATAAAAAATAAAAATGCCAGGCACTAGAACATATTCCTTTAGTCCTCCTGGCCACTCATGACAAGAGCATGGGCAGTATGGGGCAGGGAAGGGGGAGTGGGCTAACAAAGCTAGGTGGCACAGTATTTTTCTTGCTTAGCACATTTGAGGATGCAGGCTTCACCCTCAGCACCACAAAAATTAAAACAAAAAGAATGAACTAGGTCAATATGACTGGCAAACTAGATCACAAGTTGCAGAATACATATAGAGTATGACAACATTCCTGTAAAATACAAAACGCTACACATACGCGTGTCACTAGGGGTGGGAGCTAATACATGGTCCCAACAGATAATAAAAGGGTAATGGTTAACTCAAATGGGAGCATTAAAAAAAAGTACTTCAACTTAATTTTTTAAATGATTATTTCTTGTAACAGAAGATTTAATTTAATGCAAATATAAAATAAAACATGTTCATTCTAGGTAGGAAAGCATAAATCTGCATTATGTTCCCCCTTAATCAGAACTATGTATGAAAAACATAATTTTAGGGGCTAGGGATTTAGCTCAGCGGCATAAGCACCTGCCTTGCAAGCAGGTGGTCGTGAGTTCGATCCCCAGTACCGATAAAAAAGAAAAAGACCAAAAAAAACATAACTTTAATTAGAATTAAATATAAACAACCCAGGTACAATGGTACACACCTGTAATACTAGCACTGTGGGAGGCTAAGGCAGGAAGATGGCAATTTGAAGCCTAGTTTGGCAAGAATCTGACTCAAGACTTAAATGCTAGAGATACAGCTCAGTGAGAAAGCCCAAGGTCCAATCCCCAGTAACACAATAAATAAATAAATGTAAGTATACAATTCATATAGCTTTCCAGATGTATTGAAGAACAGTCTTCAATTTTTTTTTCTTATCGAGAACTGAACTCAGGACCTCACACTTGCCAGGTAGTAGCTGTATTTGAGCTATACGTCCCGGGCCCACTGAAAATTTTTTAATTGAAAAAAGAAAACAATCTTCATTGAGCAAGAATTATAGAACAGTGCAACCTTAGACTGACCCCTGAAACACTGGTTTTAATTCCATTCACCAAATTTTCCCCCTAATGATTTAAGAAACCAAGAAGAACAGCAATTTTTAAAAAGGCAGAACAGTAAAAAAATGTTAGTTTTTGCCCTCTGTAGGAAAAAAACATAAGCAAAGCCAGTACTAATACACGTTCTTCACAAGCTGGGCCAGGATTTAGCTCAGCCTCTGCCTGGTAGGCACGACCTATTGAGTTTTGATTAGCGGTACAAAAAAAATGTCTTCACAAGCTTCTGAGAATTTTATTTTCTGCACAATCCACTAGCAAAATGTTTCAAACTCAAGTATGTAACCTAAAATATCCTTTGTACATCTCATAGAGCATAGAAGCCCATTCCCACTCTGGTGCTGAGGTAGAATGACCTCAAGTTCACCGACAGCCTGGGCAACACAGGAAGACTATCTCTTTTTTTTTTTTTTTTTTTTGGCTTTTTCGTTGTTTCTGTCTAGCAAGACTATCTCAAAAAAAAAAAAAAAAAAAAAAAACAAATTAGATAAGCAGGTAACATTTCTTTTCCTTTGTAGCAGGGCATAAGTGGGGTGGTAGTGGGGGCTGAACCCATGCCCTGCACACTGAGCTGCTACTTTCCCAGCGTTTTTCCTTTTGAGTCTGGGTCTCACTAAGTTGCTGAGGCTGGCCTGGAAGAGCACTAGGGTTACAGGTGTGCACCAACATGCCTAGCTAACACAAAAGGAAATTGAAATAAAGCATCCTCCCAATTTACCTTAAGATAACTAACTTATCCATCTTGACTCTTTGACCATGTCCGCAGAGAAGGAGCAAAAGCTGGCAACAAGTGGCATTTGAGGCATTCTGCTGCATCCCAATCATCTCTTTATGTTTTCTAACCTTTATCTACTGGTGACTGCTGAAAATCTAAAATATAAGATGCCGTGCCTTGCTGACCTATCTACTCCAAACCAAAACATTCTGTAAGGAAAAAAACATCAAAAAGTAGACCTATGCATCCTTAAAATGTTTATGATTGAATGCATCCTACATTTACTAACAAGGCCCATTATTTTAACATTACACAGCTGAAACTCTCCTACAATGCATTAACACGATCAAAACAAGTCAAGAAAACTACAAAAATATTGCTCTGAGATTCACAATTCCATACAGGCTACTGAGCTAAAATTTCTACTCATCCAAAACTGCCCAGGCAAAAATAAAAACTTCAACATTTAGTGGGCGTGGCGGCACATGCCTGTAACCCAAGCACTTGGGAGGCTGAGGCCAAAGGATTGCCCCAAGTTCATGAGCTACATAGTGAGCTCAAAACCAGCCTAAACTACAAAGCAAGACCCTGTCTCAAAAGCAAAACAAAAACAAAAATACTCTTTCTTATATGCTTAAAATAGAAGGCTGAAATCCATTCTCTGGGTCTGTCAAATTCTCTAATCCACACAGAAAGGAAAAATAAGCACATTGTAAATGACACTTCTATAAAACTAATGAAAATCCAATCTTTTTCTCTTGATATTTGTAGAATACTGCTTCTACCCCCAACGGAAAAAAAATCTCCTAGCATGGGCATGCCTATAATTCCAGCATTCTGGAGGCTGAGGCAGGAGGATCCTGGCAAGTTTGAGACCAGCTTGGGCTGCAAAGTGAGCTCAAGGCCAGCTTGAACTGCATAGTGAGATCCTGCCTCAAAAAGACCAAAAAAAAAAAACCTCCCTCACTCATAGTTTTCAAAAGTGTTCATTCAGAAACGTTGTTAGCCTAGTGTCTTTTTTTTTAATTTTGCCCCTCTTGAAACAGTGTTTTACTAAATAGTCCAGGCTGGCCTTAAACTATGCCTATATCCCAGGCTAGCCTCACATTCACGATCCCCTGGCATTAGCCTCCCAAGTGCTGATATTACAGGCCTGTGCTTCCAAACCTGGATAAAAAGGAAAATTTTTATGTTGCTTGGTCTAAAAGTCTAAACTTCTCAATGTCTATAATCCCAGCACTTCGGAAGCTGAGAAAGGAGGACTGCCACAAGTCTGAGGCCAGCCTGCACTACATACTGAGTTGAAAACTAGGCTGAACTATATAACAAGACTGTCTTAAAACAAAACAAAAATTTACAGATATATCAATATAACTTCTGTATCTTTCTACTGCTATTCTATCTATGACCAAATAATGCACACTTAAAATCTTAATTCAGACTTTCTTAACTCTGTAGCCAGTTATAAAACCTAAATATAACTTCTTATTTTTAGGTTCTAAAATATCCTGTAACATATACACTTTTCTGGTCAAATCTGTTTTTATTTTATAAAATCTGTTTAAAATCCTGAGTTGGGGCTGGTGATTTAGCTCAGCGGCATAAGCACCTGCCTTGCAAGCAGGTGGTCCTGAGTTCGATTCCCGGTACCGATAAAAAGAAAAAAGAAAAAAAAGTTTAAAATCCTGAGTCAATATTAGGCCTAAATTCTCTCTTAATTTCCAGCATCTGAACAAGAAACTGACAACCCTTCAAACTGCAATCTGAGGGTGACATCCTAAGCTACTCAAATCTAATGTTCCCAATAAACAGTCCTTACCACTCTGGCTGCTCTCTCTTGAGATTCGCATTTCCTGCAAAACCATGGTCCAGTAGGTACTTGAACAATGCCATAGCAAGCTGTTGGGAAACAAAATGTTTCAAAATGTTAAGTGTTTGAAGGAGACCAAGGAAAATCAAATAAACTTCTAATAACTTCTGATAATCAAGTCCTGATAAGTGACTCCTCAAACTATTCGAGTCAACTGCTAGCTTCACAGAGAATTTTTATATAACATGTTTTATTTTTTTTGAGATAAGGTCTCTACTAGGCTAGCCTCAAACTCAAATTCCTGCTGCATCAACCTCCAAGGAACTAAGATTATGGGTACATACCTCCATACCTAGCTCACAGTCATTTATAATTAAAAGGTAAAATAATATATATTAATAAAAATGTTTACATTCAACTCTTATGTATTTTATCTGAAAAAGCCTAAAAGTTATACCTGTTTTTTAATCTCAGAATTTTTTTTATTCTATGGTAATTTTTTTTTCTTTTTTTTTTAGATAAGGTCTCACCATGTAGTTCTGGGTGTCCCTGAGCTCAAACTCCTGGTGATACAGCACTTCAATCTCCTGAGTACTGGGGTTACAGGCCTGCCTCACCATGTCTGGCTAGGGGTTTTCGTGGGAAGGAGTTTAGGGTTTTTGTTTGTCTGTTTTGGTATTTTGACACAGGGTCTCACTATGCAGTTCAGGCTGGCCTTGAGCTCACTTTGTAGCTCAGGCTGTTCTTTCGCAAGGGTCCTCCTGCCTCAGCCTCTTAAGTGCTGGGATTACAGGCGTGCAACCATTACAATGAGCTATACGGATTTTTTATTTTATAATGGAAGAAATTCACATAAAATTTTGTGCAGAAGCCAGATGTGTTCAATCCTTATTAATAAATAAAATGTTCCAATTTATATGACATGCCTAAAATAGAAAAACAGTCAGGGAAACAGCTGCTACACAGCACCTGCCTGCACACAGAAAATCCTGAGTTCGATTCCCAGCACAAAAAAAAAACTCCTCAAAAGTAGACAAATACACAAACCAAAAAATCAGTAATTGCTTATGACTGCAGGAATTCAGCAGAAATGGAAAGCGATGCTGGGGATATAGCTCAGTGGCACAGCACCTGCCTGGTAAGCTCAAGGCCATGAGATTAATTCTTGGTACAAAAAAAAAGAAAAAGAAACTGCCTTATGTTATAAACCAGGTGTGATGACACACACCTGTAATCCCAGCACTTGAAGGTTAAAGGCAGGAGGGACTATTGCAAATTGAGACCAATGTGAGCTCAAGGTCAGCCTGAGCAGCATACCATCTCAAAAAAAACAAAAAAAAAAGAAAGGAAATTACTGCTAATGGATCCAAGACTTCTTGTTAAAGTGAAGAAAAAGATCTTAAATTGATTGGGGTAATGGTTGCACGATTCTAAATAAAACAAAAACCACTCAATTGTAAGTGTCAGTTGGTCAACTGTATGATATGAAATTATCTTAATAAGGCTATTACAAAACAAGAAAAACAAGTATTTTTATTTCTAAATATTTTATAACACAAATGCTCGAACAACTATGAGTCTATCATATGTCTAACTCATAGCCTCTCCAACCATGGTTGTACACATGGTTGGAAGGCTGAGGCAGGAGATACACTGAACGTTTGAGGTCAGCCTGAATTACATAGTAAGACCCTGTCTCGAAAAATTTAAAAAAAGAAAAGAGAGAGAAAGAAAGCACAGCCTCATTATTTAAAACTGATTTTTAGAGCTGGGCGTGGTGGCACATGCCTGTAATGCCAGCACTTGGGAAGCTGAGGCAGGAGGACTGTTACAAGTTCAAGACCAGCCTGGGCTACAAAGCAAGCTCAGAGCCAGCATGAATTGCATAGGGAGATCCTGTCTCAAAAGATCCAAAGGAAGGAAGGAAGGAAGAAATAAAGAAAGGAGCTTGGCACGGTGGCACATGCTTGTAATCCCAGCACTTGGGAGGCTGAGGCAGGAGGATCATTGTGAGTTAAGACCAGCCTGGGGTACAAAGTGAGCTCAAGGCCAGTCTAAACTGCATATTGAGACCCTGTCTCAAAAAGATGGGGAAAAAAAAGAAAGAAAGAAAGCTGATTTTTCATAGTATTTAGTTCAAAATTATAATTTTTCTGAAAACATAAAAGCACATTCAATTCACATTTCTACCAGTTAACTGAGCAAAAATCTAAAAATCTTTTTTTTTTTTTTTGGTTGTGGTCATAGGAACCCAAAGCCCTAAGCTACATCCCCACTCATTTTGAGTCTTAGTAAATTGCCCAGACTGGCCCCAAGCTTTTAATCCTCCTGCATCAGCCTTCAGAGCTCCTGGCACAAGAGGAATGTGTCACACTACTCAGTAAACAAATGTATCTTGAATATCAGGAAACAAGAACAAACCAATACAACTCGTTAAAACTTCAAAAGCCTAAATTTCTAATGGCATGTTTTGGGGGAGAGGGGGTGTTTTTGGCAGGGTTTCACTAAGTAGCCCCAGGCTGGCCTCGAACTTTAAGGGATTCTCCTGCCTAAGCCTTTGGAGTGCTGGGATTACAGGCATGAGCCACGACATACTCCATCTTATTTTGTTGGTGGTGGATTTTTTTTTTCATTTTTGAGACAGGGTGTCACTATGTAGTTCACGATGGCCTCACAGCAATTCTCCTGCCTCAGCCTTCCAAATGCTGAGACCATAGGCATGCAACACCATGACTAGATCCTAATCCTTATTAAACACGTGTAAATATGTAAGAGTAGAAATGTTTTATTAACCAAGAAATACAGCATGAAAGTCCAAACACAGTTTTCTTTGAAAGAATTTAGAGAAAGGAAAAGTCAAGAATCAAGTTGAGAGTGGTGGTACACACCTGTGATCCCTGCATTTAGGGACACTGAGGCAGGAGAATTATTCCAAGTTTAGTTCAACATAGTGAATTTAAGGCTTGCCTGAACTACATAAGGAAACCTAGTCTCAAACAAAACCCAAAAAATATCAAATGAACATTTTCAACATTAGAAAATAGAACTCTTAACAAAATTTGACAATTTATTATCCAATTCGTAACAGTGCCTCCACCAGTGCCAAGACACTGTACTACAAACTATAGGCCAATTCTAAGACCTTAACATCTGTGTCTGGTTTTGACACATTGTTTTCACTCCTTAAAAGTGGCAGCCTTTCCTGAAACTTAAAAGCTACTGTGGTGAATTGGTAATTGGTCACTGCCAAAGTATTCCTTCCCAAGGTCCACTGCATACTTTAAAGACTGCACTCCCCACTCCCAGCGAGATTTCTCTCTTCCTATCAACAGGGCCCCTTTCAGTACACTACTAAACCACCCTTCAATGCCAAGTTCAGATATGGGAAGAGGGGATGAAATGGTGAACAAATAGGATCACCAAAAAAAAAAAAGGATCTAGAACTGTTTTGGCCTCAATTCCTTACCAGTTTTATTGGTTAAAAGTCAAAAACTCAAAAGTCAGGCGTGGTGGTGCATGTCCATAATCCCAGCACTCAGGAAGCTGAGGCAGGAGGATAGTTGTCAGTTCGAGACCAGCCTGATCTACAAAGTGTGCTCAAGGCCAGCCTGAGCTGCATAGCAAGATGCTATCTCAAAAAGAAAAAAAAAAATAAGTCAAAGACTTCAACCAGAAAAACTGTCTTACTGGTGTTCTCAATGTTTTTTTAATAACCAAAGTCACTCACCAACTGGAAATACCTAGAAATTAACTAAAAAGTTCCCCAAGTCACGTGGCAGCACCACCACCTCCTCTAGTCTTCGGCCACACAGGCTGAGGCGTGGCCTCTTGTGGCCACTAAGCAAGGCCTTAGCCATCAGCCCAGGGCACTGAGCCCCCAGACCCTCCCGCGGGCAGGGACCGCGCTGTCCTCTCCGCATGAAGCTCTTAGTCCACGGGCGTGGGAAGCAGCTTCCGGATGTATGCCGAAAGCTTCGAGTGAGGCAGTTTGGTCTCTTCCTGGCTCTAAAGAGGGCCCCAGCCCAACACCGTGAGCCACAGGAAGTCCCCAGCCACTGCAGCAAACCTGCGCAGGCCATAAACAGGGCAAGGGTTCCACATTCCCACCCTACCCCGGTGGCCACCGTGACCCCGAACGCAGTGTGCAAGCACCCACTGCTGCCCCCACCCACCTGGGGCGCAGGCCGTAGTCACGCAGTTTCCCCGCTGCCCAAGAAAGTCCGATGACCAGGGACTACTGACACTTGAGAGAGTGCGCGCGCGGTCACGTGACAGCGGGCCACAAGCGCTTTCCTCCACCAGCGCGGCCCGCACCCCCTCCCGCGCGCCGCGAACCCACAGGGCTGAACCTCGGCCGGGAGGCTACCGGGGACGGGGCGGGGCCGCGCCGGGGGGCGGGGCCGCGCCGGAGGGGGAGGGGCGGGCGGCCGCGGGCGCTGCCAAGGTGGGGCGGCGGTGACGGTTGGGCGCAGGCCGGCGCGGCGCGGCGCGCGGCGGGGTGTTTACCTTGATGCACCGCGACACTGCAGCCGTGCCCGTCGCAATAAACCAGCGGGTTCTCGGCCCAGCCTCTCTCGTCTGAGCAAACGCAACAGCCTCCAATCATCTCCTTCATACTATGAGAGACCTCGTCCTCCAGTGACACGGGCCGGTCGCTAGAGACCATCTAAGAGGGAGTTGGGGGGTACCATTAAAAATTACATGCAAGCCTTAAGTGCTCTCCCCACCCCGCGCCCATTCGCTCGCTCCCCGGCGCCCCACACGCACGCACGCCCGCCACCCGCTGCCCGCTGCCGCCGCCGCTCAGTCACTCACGTTCCGCACTGGAGTCAGGAGCCATGTCCTTGCTGACTCCCCCACCGCCCTCCGCCACCACCTCCTCCTCCTCAGCGCCTTCCCTCCCTGCCTCGCCCGGCGTTAGCGCTGGCGCCCGGCGCCGGCACACATAATCCGGGAGGCCTCCGCACAGGCGCACTGGGGGGGCTCCCGCGGTGCCCGGGGCTACGAGGGAGGAGACAGGGCTGCGCTTCCTCCTCGGAGCGTCACTTGGCGTGCGCGCCCGCTCTGCTGCCGGCGTGAGGGAGGTGATCCAGAGAGGAAAGGCCTGCGTGCGCGCCGCCGCGCCCAGCCGTAGGCCCTGGCCTACTCTCCCGGGCCCCTTCCCCTCCCCCGCGCCGCGCCTCTGCGGCGGCCGCTGAGGTGTGCAGCGATGGGGGGGAGAGCCCGCGGCAAGGAGGCTGGAGCGGGGGCGCGCACGCGAGGGCAGGGACGTTGGGCCTCCCTCTGCAGCGCAGGGACGCGGACTGAGCGTGCGTGTCGGGAGAGCCCCGGGAGGGAGTCCCGGAGACGCACGGGAGGCGCGAGCCAAAGGCCTGGGGGGGCCGTTAGTCTGAACAGCAGGAGGGGCTCCCCGAGGTCATCTCTGGGCCCTGGGAACCTACCTGACAGCCTTCTCTTCCCAAACTGGCTGGTGGGTGACTATGGTTGGGAGCGTACACCCGCTTCCATGAAGGGTGTAATGAAGCATGGCTTCCTGCAGTTGGCCACGCTAACTTCACAGCCGCAGCCTCTCCACCCATTAAATTCACATCCTGGATTCCACCCAAAGTTCACCCATTGGAAGTGTTACCAGAGCTGCTTTCCACTTATGTACCACATTGACCCCACAGACAAATTAAAGTATATCTAGGTCAAAAAGCTGTTGTGAGGGAGCCCCAAGCCCAGTCTTAGCTTGCTGTGAGTTTAAGTGGGTACCAGGAATTAGCAATATAATGGAATCTGGGAAATGTAGTTCTAGGACAAAACAGGTTCTGGTCTGTCACCAACAGATAATTAAGACCATAAGACAGTTCTGATTGAGGAGTTCTTCTGATTGAGGAGTCTATTCATTCTTTGCTACTTTTAATTTTGGAAATATAAAGTTATTTAAGTGGCAGAGATGGGCACTCTCCCCTCACAAAATGGATTAGGCCTATCAACAATTAGCTAGATACTAAGGAGTTTTTAAACTGTGAAAGCTCCCACTCTTGCCCCATTTCTTACAGATCCATGTAAATCATGTATTGATTTTAAGCAAAAAGTGTCTAATCATAAAAGTTCAGTATGAGATGAGAATTATGAATTGATTGTTTAAATGACAAGCATTGTTACAGGGGGAATTCGTGGTTTTTGGTTAATAACTTGCAGGTAGGGCAACCCACTCGGGACCATTTCTGTCTTTCTGGGACAGAAGCTTTCTTTCTCTCAATAAATATAGTCTACAAAAAATAATACTGACATGCAGGCACAAAATGGTTTATCAGAGGCTCAGCAGCGTAAGCGCCAGCCTGGTGAGCGCGAGTTCGATCCCCAGTACCAAAAACAAAAAAAAAGGTTTTATCAGGATTTAGCCATATAATGTGATCTGGAAAACACACTGATATTATGCTAAACGATGGAGTACCCAAGTTGTCCTGTCAGTCCCAGGAAATAATATAATGATTTAAGCTTTAAAAACATTCCGAGGGTTCTCTTAAAGAAGAATAAGGTAAAGTAGCTTTTTCGTATTTCAGATTAGTTGGTAGAATGACAGCACAGAAGAAGCATAGATTATCAAACATATTCAAATGTCTTAAAAACTAAGTGAGACCTGTGTAGAAGTGGAAATTATCAAAACTTACTGATATAGAGAAAATGTTCACCAAAGAAACACATGAAAAAAAGATATACAGAAATGAGAATTCTCTATTAACTATGTAAATGCATTTAGAAAAGTGACTACAGGATTAGAGGACATAGCAACAATTAATACATTTTGGGACATATAATAATATTCTCAAAATGCCCTTCAAACAAAAGTATAGTTTTTGTATATCCTAACTACATAGTATTTAGAATTTTGTCCTCATACAAAAGTTACCAGCTCAATATCTAATTCCTACCCAAATTCCTAATGTAATTTTGAGTTAAAATCAGTGTAAAACTTCCCTTTGCAGTCAAACCTTAATGCATTATTTAAAAATATATTCGTGTATTTAATGCATAAATTTGTATTTCTAAATTTTATATTTAATGTATTGGAGCTTACATCTTGTGATGGCATTGATTTGTATGTAAAGAAGGATGAGTACCTTACCTTATCGTGTAACATGTACTAAAAAAGTAGGTAAAACACATACTCTCTCCAAAACAAAAAATTATCATTTATAACAGATTTTTGAAATTCAAACAAGTAATGAAAATATACCAATTAGGGGCTGGGAATTTAGCTCAGCGGCATAAGCACCTGCCTTGCAAGCAGGCAGTCGTGAGTTCGATCCCCGGTACCGATAAAAATGAAAAAATATACCAATTAATAACATGCCTATATATAAATAATGGTACCTAAAGCAGAAATGAAGTTAAATTTTAAATAACTGTATATTGACAAAATAGAATTCCAAGCACTTCGAGCTGATTTTTTTTTTCTTTTTCCTTTTTTATTGGTACCAGGGATTGAACTCACGACTGCCTGCATACAAGGCAGGCATTTATGCCGCTGAGCTAAATCCCTAGCCCCTTCAAGCTGATTTTTAACATGATGTATTGAGTTATGAAAATAATTAGGAAAAAAAGGGTGTAATAGATCATTTTCATTTTAACTCAAGTACCAGATATTGAACTTTTCCTTATATACCTGAAACAAATAGTGTACTTCTATAAAATATTAATTGAAAAGGAATAGCAGACAGTATGAAATAATTCAAATATACAGTGAGTTATTCATTCAATAAATATCTATTGAACATTTACTGTGTGCCATAGACTGTTTTGGGTATAGAGACTAGAACAATAAGAAAGTTGGACTTGTCCTTTATTAAAACATATAACATGTATGACACTTTACTATGTTAATTCTCATATCTTAGAATGGGTAAAACATAATTAACTTGCCAAAATTGTTAAAGTTAAACTAAATTTTTAAAAATACACAGTGATAAGGGCTGGGGATTTAGCTCAGTGCCACAGGCACCTGCCTGGCAAGCGCAAGGTCATGAGTTCAATCACTGGTACCAAAGAAATAAAATAAAATTAAAAATACACAGTGATGTAAAATAATAAATTATGATATTTATAGAATCATTTTATAGAAAACAATAACACAATCTTAGTGTTATCATTTAAATCTAATTCCATATTCCCAAATATCCAAGTATATCTTGTACCTGTCGAATAAAACAAAAGCCTATTGTTTCTAACATCCTTCATAAAACCACTAACACAATACTGGCTCATCTATTTCTCTAAACTAATCATCTGAGGCAAACCACAAAAAAACTCAAGTACAGTATTTTATGATGTAACCTCTAACCCTACCATAATGAGAAAATGTATTTCCACTCTATGGGTAATATATCTTCTTATAATTTTCTTTAGTCCCTAACCAAGGCACCAATTTTTTGAATTTGCTTTTCTGTTATCATTTACATTAGTAGATGCTGTGAAAGAAAATTTTTAAAATTACATTTGGTTCATATGTTAACATGGCTTGTATTAATTACCTTTTTAAATCAAAGTTTCATACTCCTATCTGTTCATATTAGTATGAGACCTATTGTTAAAGTATGTTTCTCTAGTGAGGAATAGACACTGAGATCCATTGCTATAAGCCTGAGACTATAATTCACTGTCCTTACCTCAGATTCCTGATTTCTACAGTCCATATTGGCCCTGAAACTAAGTTTTATACAACAAACAATTAGAATTCAAGTATTATTAAGACTTACCAGAAACTATAATCTTGTTTCTAAATAAATTACTTGAAATTCAAAAAGTCAATTCCTTATGATTTGTAGACTTTCAGGTATGTTCTCTTTGACATACATTTGATTCTCAAGAGTTTTTACATTTTATGCAAAAAGCATGTTATGACCCACGTATATTTATAGTAGTTTGATTAAAATACTGAAGTATTTCAGCAACTAGTTTTGTTATTTACCTTACAGACGTAAACCCACACATCATGCCTTTATGTATCATGTATTCAAATTTTCATTAAAGAGTATTCAATTATAGTTTTAGTTGAGATTCTGTTAGTGGCTTTTGCAAAATTTCACTTAAGCATGATTAGGTATAAGACTAGATTTTTCTTTTACTCACAACAGCACCTAGCAAGTATCTTGCACATAGTAGGCCCACAATATATGTTTACTTAATATACAGTATTGGTATTTAAAAGCTAATTGTAGTCTGAGCTTTAGTCTTTATTCTTTAGAATAAAACAAGGCTTTATTTTGTATGCACAATTTAAGTAAAATTTCCAAGTCATGATTGACAGAAATTTTCACATAGTTTCTTTAAAGATTTTACTAGTTGAAATTAATATTCGTGAAGTCTTTTACCAGATAAGTTTGAATTAGAATTGTCTACATTTAAACAGCCCTAAAACCCTAACTACCTTTCAGATAAAAATCATCACTGCGTTACTAAACCAACTCTAAGAATCATAATTAATATTATTGCTAGATAAATTTAATTTTTGGAAAGTTTAGTTAGGTAATGTTCAAATTTAAATTCTGCGGAATCTAAATTAAAAATCTTTCTAATAATAAAGGTCTAATATTTACTTTAAAAGGGTTTGGATTAGTTGATCTTGAATTTGGCTTCACAGCTATTCCTTTAGCTATAAAATTGATCTTAATTGGCTGCCATAGAGGGGTAAAAACCTTATAATTACCTATAGAAAAATAATATCTCAAAAATGCCTTTAGATCCTTTAGATGTTACATAAATTTCAAACATTTCAGAGTTGCACTTTTTTTCTGTAATGCAATAATACTTAAGTGTGCTACTCTGACTTTTCAAGATATCATGAATACAATGGAAGAGTAAAACTGTAAGATCCGTGTTTCATTTTTTACTGGTACTGAAGTTTGCATCATCTCTGTTATACTAAAGTCTCATTCAAGTGACATATTTAGGTGCCTGTTTATAGGATACACTGAGTCTAAATGAAAATGATTCTAGACATGGAAAGAGGAAAATCAGTTTTTAAAATGGAAAAGAGCCATGAAATAAATTAAACATATCTAGGACCACAAAAAGAAAAAGGAAAAAAAGAGAAATTAAACTGAATCACCAAAATCACCAAATACTGTTTGGACAAAAGGTCACTTTTAAAGATTTAAATGTTTTCCTCTGTGAAAGGGAAGGAGCCATTGCTTACCAAATCCAGAAAAAAGCCC